CCGCCCTTCGCCGCAGCCCCCGCCGGCGGCGGCCCCGCCGCGCCCCCTGGCGGCTCCCCCGCCGCGCCCGCCCCCGGCTGCAACCACGACCAGCAGCTCAGGTACGGCCCGGCCGTGTGTCCGCCCTGCCCCCGCCGCCTCGGGACCCCCTGCGCGGGCGGGGGAGGGTCCGCTTGGTACCCAGCTAGGCACTGAACCAAAACAGCTGCGCTCCGATACCCTGAAGGCTCGACGACAAGCCATCCCCAACAGCAGGAGCAAAAGTAGTGTTGCTGCCCTGAAACCCCACGCTCGTGGGGAAATTATAAAGTAGTGTACTAATCAGCTCATAAATTTAGAAATAGTTAATGTTTTAGTTTTGCTAAGTGAAAATAGCAGTCAAATTGCAGATCAGATCTTGTAACTGGAGTAATGCAGTGGTAAATTAAAACCTGCTGAGCATAGGTGTCTGATCCCTTAGCACTATGAAAAATGGAAATCTTGCTACTGGCTTTAAAGAGCACAAGGTGAATTTAACCGAAGTTGTAAAATATTACTCAAGCAGCCAGATACTTGGCAGATAATAATAAAAAAACATGATTTATTAGTCATGTGCCAGGCACCCACATCACCCCAGAGGACAAGCACTGCCCCAGCCTCCTCCTCCAAGTGCCCAGGATGTGCCTGCCACAGCTAGAAGCTGAGGTCAGACCTCCTAACACTCAGCCTGGTGCCATGCCTGTGAAAATGTCCTGTTTCTGTTTGCAAAATGTGTGGTCCTTCTGTTCTAGCAATGTCACTCTTTCTTTTTTCCCATGCATCAGACTGTTGCTCAGCCAGCCTATTCAGCCCATGATGCCTGGGTCCTGTAATGCAAGACACCCTTCAGACCTCAGCATGGCAGGATCCCAGGCTAAGTATGTGACTGTCAAAGATAAAACATCAAAGTTGCTTTTGAGGGGAAATGGCCTTCTTTCGTAAGATGACAAAGTAGTTATAAATATCATGAATGTGTTACTGTGCCAAGCCTGCCTTCCAGTATCAGGCTCAGCCTTACCCTGCCTGGTTACATCAGGAAGGATGACAGAGAGAAATACAATGTGCCAGTGGCATTTTAACAAGCCATGGCTGGGGGAATTTTTGCCCCTCACATGCTGCTTGCTTCAGCACTGGAATTTCTGACCCATCACAATAAATGTGAGAGAGAAAGTCAGCCCTGACCCGGTTGAAATGACTGGTGCCATGAAAACCCCCTGCTCTCTAGGCACTGAGCCACTGGTGTTATGCCAGTGGAGCTGTGCCTGATCTACAGCAGCAGAACTGAAAACCCAACAGGCCCCTGCCCTCAGAAAAGGTGCTGAACAAACCACCTCAGTTGTTTGTCTCCTCAAAACTTAGAGGAAGGAAGCAGAACACCAGTCAGACTCTGACTTTTTTTTTTAAGCTGTACTTTGTCACTGTACTGTACTTAATTGGGAATTGAGAGAATAATAGGCAGCTCTTTGTACCTCATTACTTTAAAAGTAATTCTGTATGTTACCTCAGGAATGTAGGTGTTCAGTACTTCTTTTTTCTAAACATTGATTATTGCTGTTTAAGATTGTCTTGAGTTATATTTGTCAAATTTAAATATTGTAAATCTGCTTTTATGCCTCTGAATAAAAGAGGCCTTATTTGCAAAGATGTATCTCCCGGTTCACGTAGACTTCCTGACTCATGGGGCTCTTTTATAGGAGCTCACATCCCAGTACAAGTACCCAGACTGTAGCATTTCTGACTAACCCCTGATGTTGAACAGCTGTTGAGTGAACACAAGCCACACTATGATCTCATCACCCATTACAGGATAAACAGAATTAGGCTGGGTTGGCAATAATTCCATTGTGGTTTTGCCCACAGCCTTCCACTAAAAAACACATATTAAAGCTTTGCTATGCAAAAACAGAATGGCAAGAGGAGACAACTATTTTGTTTCTGTCCCGTCCCTCACTCCAGAGGGTTTCTAGAGGCTTCTTCTGTTCCTACAATGGGGCTCATGGTGATGGGAACTGCTGACTGTACTTGGCAATATGTGTATGAGCAGCTTAAGAAGTAATCAACCCCAGCCATGTTTCTGCAGGAGATCACCACCCCACAGGCAGTCACAGGGGAGCACAGGCAGCAGGACAGGAGGTGCATTTACTTCTCTCTTGCTGCAGTTCAGAGCTCAGCATATTAAAACAGAATCAAAGGCCATTTGGTTTAATGAGCTTGGAATGTGAATGCTGTGGCTGAAGAGAAGACATACATAAACCAGAATCTTTAATGAACCTAAAATGTGAGCTGGATTTTGAGGGGAGATACATTCTTCCCTCCAAGCCCAGCTCGTGCACAGAGTAAGGGAAAACAGTGCTGCCAATGGTGCTGTCATTCATATTAGCAGGTCCCATGCATGAGAATCCTTTATTGGGAATTATTTGGGGGTTTTCAGCCTGGAGAAGAGAAGGTCAGGGTAGACCTGACAGCAGCCTTCCAGTACCTAAAATGGGCTACAGGAGAGCTGGGGAGGAACGTTTTACAAGTGTACTTAGTGATAGGACAAGAGGTGATGGGTTCAAACTGAGAGTCGGTTTAGATCATATTTTATGAAGAAATTCCTACTGTGAGCATGGCAGGCACTGGAACAGGTTTCCCAGAGAGGCTGTGGATACCCTATCCCTGGAAGTGTTCAAGGCTAGGTTGGATGGGGCTTTGAGCAACCTGGTCCAGTGGAAGGTGTCCCTGTCCATAGCATGGGGGCTTGGCACTAGATGATCTATAGGTTTCCTTCCAACCCAAACCATTATGTGATTCAATGAATTATTAAGACTAGGGACTGCCATTCCTATCCTAAAAGAACACCTTTGCTTCCAACAGTTTGTTCTTGATTGGTAGGTATTCTCAAACTCAACAAATGTTTCAAAGTTTGGAAGTGCAGACTTCCAGCAGCAGCTCTCCAATCATACTGATGGGACAAGCAGTGTTAAACCAAGGGTTCACCACTACACCTCCTTCCCAGCCATCTTCTCTGCCACCTATGCAACTCCAGCACCAACAGCATCAGCAACAACGCTACCTGCAGGTAGGACAATGAGGGTGATGTATAAAATGTACATGCAGAGTAATAAGGTGAATGGGCTGTGCAAACGGGGCTTCATGTGTCTACTGGAGCGTGATCCTGGCAGAAATGTCCATTTTAGAGATAGCAACATATATGAGACACTGATACAGTGTCATGTAGCAGTATAGCAAGGGAGCAGTGAGAACAGTCAGAATATTTAAAAGGAAGTTACTAATTCTGTACATTGGAAGCATAATCAGATTATCCTGGATATATTGAAAGTTTATTTCTAGCTGGAGAAAATTGCTGCCTTAGGATTTATTCTGTACTCTTTATTCAGTATAAAATTTGCTTATTTTACAAGTCAAAAGATGATTTTTAATTGCTAACATCAACATAAAATGAGATCTGGATCAGATATCTGGATCCCTTCAGTAAATTAACATATTTTCTCAACTCCACAAGGCAAAGAAGATAAAGTGGAGCACATTGCCTGGAAGAACCAGGTGATTTGAAGATGTAAAAATACTTATTTTTTGACCCAATTCAACACATACTACAGTAAAGGGGAAGGGGGGAAATGAAGTGTCTGTCTGTTAACTCAACAGGTGCTGAACTGAGTCTATAAAACCTGGTCATGTATCCACTGGCATCATTGAAAGAGTATCACCAACCTCAATTGATTAAGCTCTTGTTATTGAAATTAAATCCTTATCATAGCTGGGAATTAATGAAAAAAATATGACAGATACTGTTTCCAATAAAAGCATCTGCAAAATTCACATTGACTTTACCACTGCAAGGTCACACCCTACTGTAAACTCACAAAAAGGAAGGGCTAGAAGGGACAGCATGAAGCACATTGGGATCCCTGTTTCATTTTTGTTTCATTTCTGTCATCCGTGTCATTTCTGACATGTTTGCCCACCCTGCTCCTAAACAGGCTTTTCAGAATAACCTGCAAATCTCAGGCAGTGCAATCCTAAGAGAAAACCTTTCTCAGTGCCTAATTGGAATGTTGTTTGTTGCAATCTATGTCCATTCCTTCTAGCATTAGTTAAGCTAACCTCATGCCAAACAGCTCCAGAATAAGCCAACACCCTAGTAGTATTTTTAAGCATCCTGTACATTGAGGATGAAGAGGAAAGAATCGAACACCACAATAAATTTTATTTTATCTGTAGGTGCAAACACCAAGTTCTTTGCACAATGAACAACCCGATTCTTTGCTCCTGCCATCTTACTCACCACAGCAAGGAAGTATGGGGTATCATCAGACACAGCAGCAGCAGCAGCAACAGCAACAACTAACATCAAGAAGAAGGAATAGCTTATCAGAATCATCAAATTTACCACAGCCACTGCGATAGAGTCCCACCAGCACAATCAATGCACGATTAGCTTTAACCAATGGGCACATGGGGCAGAAGAGAATGACTTTGTACTTACTGTTCTGGCTTTTGCACAAGCATTTCTTTCAAAGCTCTATGACAGAAGTACGCCACAGAGTGCAGACTGCAACCAACAGCGCATTTACAGCACGCTGGATTCAGTTTGCGCTATCTCGTGAGCACAGTATGTACTGACAGAGCAAAACAAAGAGGAACACTACCCTGTGCAGCCTCTATCACCAATGAGTGCACGGGAGAAGGCATTCAATCTCAGCGTGTCATTCCGAAAGCTATCTGGCAATTCCAAAAGACTGTTGGCAGACTCATGAGGTATTTGGCCTTCACTGTTTCAGTTCTTCTTTTGTGTATGAAAAGCACTGCGTCAAAGGTCTATTGAGGAGAGAACAAGAGATTATTTTTATTATGATTATTGTTATTATTTTGCACAACTGCACAGAGGACAAAACCTAGGCACTTTCTGTAAAGAGAAGTTTGTTTCTTTATTCTTGTGGCCAAACTAGCACATCCAATGGAGGAGAAAGCCCAGCCATTGGTGAAGATGGTCTACAGCTCATAACCCTTGATTTAGAATCTGAAAAGTATTATGCAGCTTACCCTAACTGTTCTTCATTACAAAACAACCAACCAAAAAACCAAACCCACAACCCACTCTGGACTGTTTCCTACATGAATTGTGATTGCAAAAGAGAACTCAAATTGTAAGCACAATCATGCAGCTCTCCAGTAGTACAACATGAATCCTTCTTCAACCTAACTCACCCACTCCAAGTCTCTGAGAAATATGCACTGTGTTTTGGCCCAGTGACTTGGGATGCTGCAGACTATTACATATCTCTTTCATTGTAACATTTAGGATTAAATTTTCCTTTGGAGGAAAAAAAAAGAAATGCACTTTTCGCTTTTTTTGTATGTTTTCCGTTGATATGTTTCTAAGAAAGATTTTATGTAATTATTAAATAAAAAGTAGTGTATTGTACAGCTGTTGTAATAATGACCTATTTCTATATAAAATAAAATTATATGGAATTATGTGGAAATTATTTTGTATATGAAATATCAACTCATTTCACAAGTATAAAGATTGTGCTTGTGCTTTTTTGTGAGTGGGTATTTTGTAATAAACTAATTAATTAGAAATGTTTTTGTGAAGGGAACTACTGTTTCATGCTATATACAACTCAAACTATTATTTTTTTCCATTTAATGATGGACAGTTGTCTTTATTTGTAGAATAAAATAAAATAGCCAAAAGGCTTTATTGCAGGACTTGCACACATTTTCCTGTGACTGTTCAACTATGTGATTCACATTAGACTTTTTATCTTAGCCATAGCCTTGCATGGTGTTTGGCACGTGGTTAGCAAAAACAAGTATTATCCTATGGGATTTTTGTCATGGCATAGACTCTGAGAATGATAGCTCAGGAAGTTATATTAGCCGCTAGCGAAGACAGTTCATTTTAAGCACCTTTAAAACTTTAAAGACCTCAGGCAGCTCTGTACTTCCAACCAAATGGTTTTATATTAGGACAAAACGGATGGTTTAAAGAACAGTTTGACCCAGCACACGCAAGGGCTTTGAATCACGTCCAGCTTTAGTGTTTTAAGATATTGCTGTCCTGAGTTTTGTGACGCATCTCTTCTGGAATGCTCACACTGTAGACAGTCTGGTTTCCACTTTAGCATCCTTGTGCAGACTCTTTTTAATGTTAAATTCAAATTGAGTACAGGATGGAGCAGATAGGGTACAGGTCTGCTTTCCCTCTCCTGACTCTGCTGCAGGAGCAGCAGCCTCCAACACAGATTGAGGTGGATAACTGAGCATAGTAATGTCTTCATTCGCCACAGCAGGACTGAAAGGGGATGGCCCTCAGGGCAGCTTGCAGCCACTGGAGCCAGCATTAGCTTCAAGAGAGTGCAGTCATGCCCTTCCCGCCCTTCAGTACCAGGGATCACATCACCAGAGACCAGCGTGTTCTGGTTTCTGTGCCATAGAGGAACAATGGAGGTAATCGGACTGGGAGCTGGAAATAGTGAAAGAAAACTTTTCAAGAAATGAAAAAGTTCATTTGCCCTGAGTTCTGAAAAAGTTAAAAATCTCCTCAAGAAAACCCACTGGCAAAATGACCTTGTTGCTTTGACAGCAATACTGGGTGGCAGCACTGATCAGTGCATATGTATTTCAGTCCATACAACTCCGCTGGTTTATTTCATTGAAAGAAGATGAGAGAATCAAGTCTAGTCTCTAGGAAGTGTTTAGCTAATAGATCTGGTCTGTAAGAAAGTGTTTTTACTGCCATCTTTAGGTACCTGTGTGAGTTAGCCGACTCATCTCTAAATTCTTGTGTTCAGTGAAGCAAGAGTGACCCCACCAGATGAAGATTAGAAAGCTAAATCCAAAGGTTTCACTTAATGTCTGAAGGAACCTCCCTCTTTCCATAAACTATAGACAAACCTAAGTGAAGCCCAGTTGGCTAAGTTGGAGGTTAACTTCATAAATTCCAGCTGCTCCTGTAAGGCCTTATCCTGGGAAAGGGGAGGAGAAATCTGTAAGTTCAGGCAGGAAGAGGTAACAAAAGGAACATGAGTACCTCGTAAGAAAAACATGTGGAAGCAGCAGTTGATGGATCTCAGCCACTGTGACAGAAGTCCCAGAAAGGGAAAATTCCTTTGTTTTACTCTCAGAGATAATACACCCACACCTCTCCCAACTGCCAGTGGTATGTCCAAGCCATGCTCAGCCTTGGAGCACTTATCTTTTCTAAAACTAGCAGCACTGTAAACTGTTAACAGAGAGAAGCTGCAAATAGAGTTGGGTTGCCTCCTTTTAAGTTGGTTTATTACATTGTTTGGAAGGATACAAAGTGGTTGCAAGAGTAGATTTATGTCAAGACCCAGTTTTTTGTGCTCTGTCTCATTTCTTCCCTGTACACACATTCTGGTTTGGGATTACTGTACTTGTTCCCTGTTGCACACACAAGGCAATGCTAGTTCTCTTCACAGAGCTGGGCTCTTGTTCTAGTTCATTACAGCCGAGATCCAGCTTGTTCCAATATAATCCCTCAGTTTGGGCCGGTTTTCCGGGCAGGTGGCCAGGCGGGGTGCTTACAGCAGGCCACTGCCCCGCGCCGGGATGCCTCGCTTCTGTCTCGGGAACAGGAGCTACAGATCTGAAGGGGGAAAAACGTTTGCTCGAAGCACAACCGCGCCAAGCTGAGCCCACCACACAACTCACAAGAGAGAGGCTAAACAGGGCGCGGGTACCAAACACCGACGGTACCGGCGCACAGACCGAACATCCCCGGCACCGGCACACACAGACACATGACCCCACGGAACACCCCCGGCACCGGCACACACAGCCCCCGCCCCCTCAGACCAGCCCCGCCCCGCTGAGCCGCTCCCGGCGCCGGCGCAGTCTGTTCCCACCCTCGTCCCGGAAGGGCTCCTGTTTCCCGGAGTGCCTCGCGCGCTCCTTTCCGGCCTGTGCCCGGGCAGGGTGAGTGTTGGTGGGGGCCCGTCCCGCCGAATCCGCCTCCATCCTCCCCGCAGACCCCGTGGCGCGGGGGTCCCTGGCCCGGCTCGGCGCAGGGGGCGACCCGGCGCGGGAGGCACCGGCTGGGAGCTCCCGGCGGGCCCGCGTTGGGCGGGAATGGGGCCCATCTCCTGCCCTCCCCCTGTCTCTCAGGCCCGGGGAGGCCTGCGGGACAAATGGGAGGTGGATACGGCCCGTGCTGTCAGTCCCTGGAAGGAGCCGCTTAGGCATCGTCGTGTTCATTCCGGGCCAGGCTGAGCGGCCCTGCCGGGTCGCCTTGAGGAAGGAGGGGTTTGGACACACAGAATTAGGACGGGGCCATCGTAGGAGCGCTTGGGGCTGGCCGGGAGCCCGCTCCTCATGTGAGGTAGTCGGAGTATCGGATATGCTTCCTGCGCTTCTCAGGCAGATGGAAGTAAAGCATTTATGATGCTGGAAAGCTGCTGCGTGTAGCCTGCGACTGGTGCGACCCCGGGGGTTAGTTGGTTTAGGTTAAAGTTCCGAATGTGGGAGTTGTGTGGTTTGTAAGTGTCTGGGGAGGACAGGAGGGAAGGGGACGGGAGGAGTCCCAAGGGAGGTTGGTTTGACGCTTATACGGATGTTTTTCAGCGTTGCTCAGATGGCTCCTGCAAAGAAAGGCGGCGAGAAGAAGAAGGGGCGCTCTGCCATCAACGAGGTGGTAACGAGGGAATACACCATCAACATTCACAAGCGGATCCATGGCGTGTAAGTTGTTGTTATCCCTTATGTTAACTGGCATTTGGTTGCGGCTTCGATAGGTTTTAAAGGGCAGAGGAGGACTGTCCTTATTGCGTGTTGTTTGCGGTCTCTTGTGCCTCGGTTGTGTCCCAAGGAAGTAGCTCTGTACCTGTGCAGCGCCACACTTTGTATGTGGCTTTCTTTGCTGGTGAGTGTTCCAGGACTTGAATTTGAAGTTAGATCTATTTACTTCTGTGCACAGGTTGCCATTCTTTTCCAGGCAAATGTTTAAAGTTTAGCCCACTGATTAAGTTTTAGAAATTATATATTGCTGTAGTCAAATGATTGGCTTTGTGCTTGTCGTGAAGTCATGTGACGTGTAAATTGGGGTATGATTTGAATTAAAAGGATATTTGTTGTGTGTAGATGGGGGTTTACCTGGCAAAATGCTGAACCTCGTAAAACCGTGTAGTAGTGAAGTGCTTGAGAGGAAACTGCATCACCCTTACATTCTGTGTATGGCTGCAGTCATGTGGAAGACACAATTTGAATCAAAATGATTGGGGAAATGGCTGAAGTTGGAGAGAAATGAGGCAGTGAAGTATTGTAAAACCGTGGGCGAGAAGGGGAGACTGGTATTCTTTAATTGGCAGTAAGATGTTCTGACCTTGCGTATTGATTGGCAGTTCAGTCTGTTTTAAGGCAGATGATCCTGCTATCCACTTTTCTTTTTGGGTTATCCACTTTCTGTGCATGGTGTGTGCTAGGGCTGCAGTGCTTTTTGTTTAATGCTTGTCTCACTTGTAATCATGCACCCACTTCCCATTTCTAACACTAAATATCAACAGCGATGTGCAAATAATACTAAATATAATTTACTGTGGGACCTCAGGCACTACTGATACAGCTCCATGTCACAGTGTGGGTATAACATATGGCAAAACACTCGCAGTGCAGCTCTAACTTCTGTTGTGAATGGCCAGTCCTGCAGGATCTGTCCTTAATGGGCATGAGACAAGCTATACTGGTAAAAAAAACCCAGTTCTGATGGTGGTACTGGTGCTGTCCTGCTAGCATGAGAGAAAGTAAGTACTGTGTAGGAGAAGCTGTTATTCAGAATAATGTCAGTTTTATTCTTCTGCAGTTTATTTTAATACTGTTACAGTTCTGTCAAGTTTGTATTACTATTGTTGCACTGCTTTTCTCATAGACCTTCTATTCAGTGTCTGAAACCTCTGATCTCTCCAGTAATGTTGCGATACTCCCAACATGCTGACATTAAAACCGAAGGCTTAAAATTCAGGAGATCTTGGGGTTGCATAGTTTTACTGAAATTATTCTCCCTAAGTATACGAGGTTTCTTTTAGGCCCAAGGTTAGCAGCTCCCTACCAGGGTAAGAGTGTAGTCATGCTGTGATGCAGCTGTTTGTCTGCTGTTGAACACAATTCTTTAGGTTGTATGTTTAGAGAACACCAGTGAATGCTGCAACATGCAACATTAAATGCTGACAGTGTCCTGAAGTTAAAGAAATGGCTCTTGTGTTTGTCCTAGGGGCTTCAAGAAACGAGCACCGCGCGCTCTCAAGGAGATCCGTAAATTTGCGATGAAGGAGATGGGTACTCCCGACGTTCGCATTGACACCAGATTGAACAAAGCAGTCTGGGCTAAAGGAATAAGGTGGGTTTCTGCAGCTTTCCTTACTGTCTGTGGAAGGACTTGGAGGGGTAGAAACATTTGTATGCTTCTTGCAGTGTTTGCATTTGCTTTGCAGATGCGTTTTTTCTTACAGCATACATGCCAAGCTAATCTTTCTGTCAGCTCTGTATTCTGGTCAGTTCTCCCAGCATATTTGTAGCAAAGCTTTGGCAAACTCTGCGACTGAAAGAGCTTCCTTCTACCTCTAATAAGAATAAAGTGAAGAAAAGAAGGAATGTGGGTTTGGGGAGGGTGGGGGAAGAGAAAGGATTGAGGTATTGTAATACTGAAGTACCCTGACCCCTATCACAGCAGACACTTTTTATGGCCTTTTAGTGATACCTTTG